ATCCACTAAAGTGAAAATTGGTGGGAGTTGGAAGTGATTTTCAAATAAGGGCAACATAGCCAAACAGGAAAATGTCTCCTATGTCCTAAGTCAACCATGCTTCCAGTTTACCTACTTTGAATTCCCAACAAAATCCTTAATTTAATGAATAATACTGTATGTGTTTTTCATGGTATTGTAAATGGTAAGACCCCATACAAATACTGCACAGTACTATATGGAATATGTTGGTTCTTAACAAATTAACTGTAATAATACAATAACAACAATGAATGGCATGGTTGCCATTTTTATTGGCAGGCCAATTAAATGTCACACACAGCTAAAAATGATCCCATGAAAGCAAAAACATGAGTTACTCAGTAGCATAGTATTCTAGGTTGAAATAATATTAAAGTTCCTTAAATTAAACCTTTCACATTTTTGTCTGCAATTTATCCATTTGTTCATGAAAGTATGCAAACACTAATCTTTGGCGAATAATCCACTACAGTAGACAAAAACAAAAAGCAAGTGTTCACTAAAGTCAAGTCAGTTGCAGAGATATTCAACAAAAACAGTGTGCACAGCTCAGATTGGATTACCTTGAGTCAAGCTAGAACACAAACCAGAAATCAGACCTCCATCAAGAATCAGCTTCATTTTTCATGCTGAATACTTTGGTCTGAACTGTTATAAATCCAAAAGGAACACTCCACTACCCAGATACTAAATAAATAAATATCACTTTAGTAGAGGTATGCCACCAATGAAAACACGCACGCATTTAATCATTTTTTGCAAAGGGGATATATCTAAATACAGCTTGCAAAAGCTGCTTTTCTCTCGCCTGCAGCCTTTGCAAGCCCTCCCCCTCTAACCCCACCCAGACTTTCTGTGACTGTCCAATCATAGACTTCCCAATGCAACTCAATGAGAAGTCTTTTCAAGGCAGCTGGTCTGTGTAATTGCTGCCTATTGAGTTTAGCTGCACTTAGCTAACCAAACCAGGAAGTAAAACGATGCCAGGGTCTGTAAACAAGGTTGAGTTATAAATGTTCGAATTTCTGTTGAAATCTACACTTTTGATGAAATAAAAAATAAAATTAAAAAAAAAATGAAGCAAGCTGAAGTGCTTTAGGGGTCAGGAGTGTCCCTTTTAATGAACTAAATTGAAATACAATCACTTAGCTTTATATTGACTCAGAGAAAGTGATTTGGGGGATCATTGCACAGAATCTCACTGATCATTCAGGTACATGGGGGCTTCTGCTATTTTTAATTTCTTACAGTCATCGTACATATGATGCATGGAAGGAAAGTGCATTTCTTTCTCTGTTTACTAATTCTCTCCTGACATTTAAAAAAAAAAATGTTTATTCAAGCAGCTCATTATCCAAGGTTTTATTTATATCAGTCACATAAGAATGCACATCTTTCAAAATATCTTCTCCTTAAGATACCTTAGATTAAATTGTTGTTAAGAAGCACTTACTAACAGCCAATATATGTGTTTAACTTGGCTAATTCCAAGATGAATTTGATAGTTTGAAAGAATTCTATATAAAATGTGATACTCATTTATAAGTGAACAGCTTAAATATTATTTATAAATAATTTGACCCAACTCAAAATTAATTTTTCATCCAATGCACCTTCAAAAGTCACTTAAGTCAGATTGTACTTATGTTAATTTACATTGTTGTTAATGATGAAAAAAAAATACTACATTAGGACTGAGAAAAGAGACCATAGCTATCCTGTTAAGAATATGTTGAGATCATTTTACTGCTTTGCAACTGTTACATTCTCTTGACATTCTCTCTTTGGTAATGCATTGTGTTACTTACTAGAGTGGCATAGACAATCTTTGGCACTCCAGATGTCTTGGACTACACCTCCCATGATGCTTTGCCATGATTATGGGTGTAAGAGAATTATGGGGGATGTAGTCCACAACACCTGGAGTGCCGAAGGTTGCCTATCACTGTAACTACACAATAGTTCACCTGAACAGGTACAGCACCTGTTGCATGGTGGGAATTCTATTTAATAATCCCTATGTAATGGACCGTTTTGCACACAAGAGGTTAAAAACGGTTTAGGCGATATTCCCCTTTCATATGCACAGGCAGCTACTGCAATCACCAATCTCCCGAACTGCAAACACACGAATTCTCCAACTACCGAACTGGAACCATACGAATCCTCCAACTCACGAACAGGATACACACGAATGCTGTTAAACAGCCGAACAGGAAAAACCATACGAACAGCTTACACTCCTAGCAGTTGCACTGTGACAGCATACAATCCAATTCCCCCCAAGAACGAGACGACACTTTGTTTGAGGATCAAGCTAAACTGATTTACTGGGGCTACCTGCCTGGCTTTTATGCAGGTCTCCCACCTGGTGGAAACTCCCCTAGGGGACCAGATGGGAAACTGGGACACAAAGGGCAAAAGGACCAATCACAAGCTTACACATTTAAACAGATCCCACAATGCATTGCAATCCCTCCTCTCTGTCCTGGAGATAATTGGGAAGTAATCCAATTATCTCCAAGGACAGAGGCAAAACTCCATTAGCCACATGTTAGTAAAAAGACATAAAATTACACAGTGTTACAATTACTATATAAAACATATACATTCAACATATCCCCAGATAGCTTAGATCAGATCACATACATACAGTTAAACTGCCATGGAGCCAAAGTCTTTCCCATAGTCTTTCGGTATACGAATGGGCTCCATGGCTTAGCTATCTGGGGTAGCACTGCTCACATAGGGAAAATAAAAAGGTTTTTAATGCAGGGCCATAGTCCAGCGGCAAGAGGTGGGCAACCAGGCTCCTCCAGTGGCCAGTGGCGAGGTTGGTTCCGCCACACCCTATGACTACATGGGAATCAAGTATATTTAATGATATTATGAGGATATGCTGACTGTTTAATTGCGATCTTGCTCTATGGATACGGTAGTAAACAAATATTTTAATATTTCACCAGCATGGCATCATATATTATCATTATTATTGTTTCAATATGAATTTTTATTTAAATATCTTGTATTATTTGTTATCCTTTTCAGATAAAATTAAAACAGACTGAAGGATAGTAGGTTCAGTTAGTGTGCCTTGTTAAACATCCATATTTTACATCCATTATTAATAAAACAAACAGTCCTCATTTCTACTACCCTAGAAACATTGTATGATGTTGATTTAATAAGCCTGACATGTCCATAGTAAAAGCCTAATTAATGTTGCTTTTTATAAATATATCTTTTGAATAATGTATGTATGTGTGCATGAATGTATCTGTCTGTCTAGTTATTTCCACTGTTTCATATCTGGCATTAATTGGGGTTAAATAAATTGTCCTTGTGTTATATAAAAACTGTTTTTAATGCATTATTAATTGTGATAAACCATCATTCTTACTGAGACCTAATTATGGGGATTTATGATTCGGTTATAACTTGTATAGATATATCTGTACAAAACATGTCTTGTGTAAAAACTATTTATTGTGTAAAATGTGTCACTGTGCATTTAGTATCAATCTTATGGCAACAGTATTCCAGATCTATGGATTTTCTACACATAACTGCATTCAAAGGCGATCACCCAAACAAGCAAATTATGTTTCAATAGTTCCCTTGTAATATATTCTCTTACAGACATTTTATTATATTTATTGGCATTTACATCAGTGACCACATTGTGGTGCCCTGGGGTCAAAATGGATCACCTCCAATATATTCTGTTCATTAACACAGGTGGCCAAAAAGAAGATTTCCATCTGTTGCAGAGGTACCACTCCCATGATGCTTTACTAGTTGTGAGGCTGGCAAAGCATCTTGTGAGTTGTAGTTCTGCAACATACAAGACTACTTCCTAGCTATCTGTGTAATTATTTATTTTTAATAAGAAACTTCCACTTCTGACTGCACACTGGTATATGTTGGCTGCATCTGTCTCAATTTTAAGTTAGCCCACTACATCAGCCACATGACATCATTTTTCAGTTGCCACAAAGCAGTTTAAGATTGTTGTTTTAAAAAAATATATATCGTGTGTCTATCTTTGTTTACTGTTCGTTTTTATGATGTATGTGCAATTACATTTCAGCTGTTCATCTTTCCTTTTGTTGAAGAAAACGAAAAAATACTTTGTTTTTATCCATTTTAATTCAATTTAATGTAAATACGTACTGTATCACCTTCAGTTCCATATTTCCCTCTTTTAAACTAATGGTATGAAAAAGAATATACCTGTCCAAGGTTCTAGCCTCGAAAATCAAACAAACAGTGCAGTTTGGGAACTAAGAGGGGTGGGTGATTCCTGGTTGCAATATGTTTACATTGTAAGCCTGAAACAATTATTTGATAATTGCTTTATTTTCTTATTTCATTTAGTCTTTTATCCCTCCTGCAGGTGTCAGACTTTGCCAGCAGTGTAATCAAATAGACTAAACCGCTTGTTATCTCTACTGATGCAATGAAACCCAGTGCAGCTCATGTGGAAATATTCACGTTAACTCCTTGTGTGCAAGGAACCGGTTTGTGCTTTACAGAGAAAGTGTGTCACATCTCTCCAGCACTCAATGGGTTAAGGAAAGCAGTAATAAGCAAGGCCATGCATTTTATATATGTACACACACACACAACACTTCAATAGCTTTAAAAAACAAAACAAAAAAACTGTCATCCCAAAGTTTCTGATACAAAATAACCTATATTCAATATATATATATACATACATAGCTGCAAAACAAAAAGGAGGCTGGGATTTCTATTTTATTGTTATAATGTATTAAATACATTTTGTATATCAAGAGAGAAAAAAAAAAAGAAGTAAATATATATTGCCAACTTCATGGAACTTACTTGGTATAATAGTAATAAACGTGTTGTTATCCAGAGCAGATCTCCTATTTATCAAACTGTTCTGATGTGCTTAGTATTCCATATATGTAGCTAAAACTTCCCAGGATTCCAAGATTGGTCTGGATACAAAGTCCAGCTTGTTATTCAGTTTAGAAAACTAGATTGGAGCTATAATACCTCTTCGTGGACGCAAAGAGAGCAACAGAAAGACTGTGTTAGGAAATCCCAATGTCTTCTAATTCCAAATTGCCAGTTCTCTGAGCTTCACTCTGTGCATTTGTCTGACACTAGCTGGCTTACTTTGACTTCTATTGAAGGCTGCCTTTCTCTCAGCTGTGATGTATCCGCCTCTCTATGGAGAAATCCCTCAGGGTATCTCCCTTCTTGCTGGTTTGATCTCCCTGCTATCCACTCGATGATAGCCTTTCCCAGTGTCTGAGTACTTCTCTGCCTCCCACTCTAATAGTTTAGAAGCTCCTCTCTCCTGTGCATCCCCCCAGTTGGTCACTGATCACTGGCTCCTGATTTGCCAGCCTCAATTCTCTGCCTGTTTTGCTTTTTTATCTTGTCACTCAGAGAATAATTTGCTGAGTTACTGGTCGACAGATTGAATTTGGTCAAAGTAGTCTGCATGCATGTTGTCAGGTTAAAGCTGTGGTATTTAAACTGAATTTACATGAAATAATGCTTAGTGATGATTTCTTAGCTGTTATTTTTTTTAAAACTTTTTTTGTATGTTTTCTTTAAATATAGCAGAATTCCACATATAGAATACATCTATAACACACATGACAACATACATATTAACACCTATTAGAAATATCAATACCATTATTTGTAAAATGACAATTCATGCAATAGAAAATCTATACAAATGTTCACACCCTCTCTTAAAAAATCTTTACAATTATATATTTAAGACAAACTGTTGCAGTTTTAGTCCTATTATAAAGCCATAACATGATAAGATACCTTAAAAATGAGTTTGAGACCCATACTGAGAAAGGATATTTTAAAAGCAGGCATGTGCCCCGACTGCTAGCAAGATGTTTGAAATAAATGAAAAACCTTTTTACTCCAAAATATACCTGAGCAGTAGATTTTCATATTCGAATAAAAAAACATGACTTCATACAGCTCCTTGTTTTGCTAAACAAAATATGTTGAATGAATGAACACAAACTATAATTTTGTTACTGTTTTAGAGGTTTGAGGATGTTTTTATTGTATTTAAAAAAAGTGTGCAGAGCAATTTAAGGACTACTGGGGTTGAATGTTGGTAGGTAGGAGTCTGGATACAAAGAACATGGTAGTGGAGAGCCAATCAACAGCTTGCTTCCATGTAGCAGCACAGAACATGGGACAGGAGGCTTGGATGTCATTAACAGAACAGGTCTCCAGTCAATGTAGCGAGATCATCAATGTTGGCAGGTACAGTCATTGGGAGATCGACACCGCTATTGGGAAAAAAACATTTAAATACCTTTTAACGCCACTCTAAGGGGGGCTAAATAGCTAGTCCAACACTATAGTATTGGACTCTTAAATTTCCAATTTGAATGGCTTATTGGAATCAATAGCTGACTGCGTATAATAACTAGTCAGACATTAGTTATCTAACTGATACTGATGCCTTAAAGGGTTACTCCAGCATCATACCCACTCCATGCCACTATAGTGGTAATTGATGCTAGGAGTATCATGGTGTCATTCCCCAGTAAGTGGCCAGACTGTTTTGCCATGGATTGCTTCTTACCTGGGTCCCGCAATGTGCTGCAGCTCCCTTCATTTTGGCATGGTCACCTCAAGGTTCTGCATAGCCCAGATACCAATACTACCATTCTATCATTGACCGAGAGCATCAGCTGAGCGCTTTCAGCCAAAAAATGAAACTGTGCAAGCAATAAGCACAGGACTGACATTAGCCACCCCATAACTTTCATTATTGCCTGGCTAATGATGTTACCTGAGGTAGAGGTACACCTCAAGCAGCTATCCTTAATATCTCAGTATGTACAGCCTTGCATGCTAAATATGCAGGATATTATCACCATGACTACTTCAAAATCCTCTGGTCATCGTGCTTAGTGTAACTCTTTAAGCAATTCTCTTACAGTATCAATACACAAACATAGGAATACCAATCACCAAAATCGATGTACCTTATGTTTATCGATCTATGATTTACTATTGATATTATTTTCATTTGCAGTGTAATAATAGGCTGCAAGCTCTAAAAGCACTTGGTTGGAGAGAAAGCTCTTTTGCTGCCAGTAGTTCTAGTTTTTTTTTCCAAACTGCTGGAAAAGGTCTGACATAATGAACTGCACTCAAAGACTCAATGCAGCAACATGGTGTTGTGTTTATGATTCTAAAAGTATCTCTTTAATTTAGCAGACATTACCAATTACAGTAGGTAAGTAATCTATCTTCTTCTATGCAGATTACACAGCAATATGAATTATAGGATAATGCCCTGATTATTAAAGGCACACACTAAACACCAACCACTACATATTAATATAGTGCTTTTGGCAGTGACATAGCTAGAGCTTTTGCGCCTAGGCAGTCACTGAGTTTGTCGCCGCTCTCAGCCTGGCCTAATGAGTAAAGCACCGCTGCGCCAGCCGTGCTGTGAGGAATACAGGAAGCAGGGATATGATGTATTAGTAGGCAGTGTTAGTGTTGGAATGAAGGGGTGTATACATTGCCACACACAGATACACACATATGCACACACACTCTGAATCACACAGACAGGTACACAGACACACAGGTACACATACACACAGACAGAAAGGTACACATACACACAGAAACATAGGTACTCATACACAGAGACACACAGGTACACAAACTCAGACACACAGGTACACACACACACACACACACACATACACTGACACACAGATACACAGACACAAACACATCCTGACACACAGGTACACATATACACAGGTACATACACACAGGTACACAGACACGATGACACACAGGTACACAGACACATACATACACTGACACACATACACTTTGCATATGTTAGCCACCTTCCTGTTTCCTTACTTTTTGGATGCAGAATGGCGGCTTCCCTGGGGTCCAGTAGGAGATGGCTGACCCAGACTGATAGGAGACTCAGTCTTCCATAGCCCCTCTCCACCTCCTCCGTTTTTGTTCCTCCTCCTCCCTACGCAGCGCCCTATTTGCCGAAAGTAATCTAAACTCACTTGTTTCCTTCCAGCAGGCTGCAGGGTAACTCAAAAGATAGTCCAGGCCAGGTCCAGTGCAATTTTAGGGCCCCGTATTACCTTAGCATTGTGACTGCACGTCTCAATCCGGCCACCATGTGCTCTAGGCATGTTTCAGAGCTGCCAACAAAAAAAAATGCCCACAAAAAAGTGCTGCCTGGGGCAAGTCACCCCTCTTTCCCCTTCCCTCCCCCCCTATCTATGCCACTGTATTATGATTTTGGTGCACAGTTCCTATCTCTGCAGTCTGACAAATGTATTCAGGCTGTGAGAATCTGCAATGTTTGCGTTTGCCACTAAGGATTTTTCTAGTAGCTGTCAATCAGACAGCATTTAGATGCAATTTCCTTTGACTACTTTACAATTTTGAAGGCTGCCTCTTTCGTTATTATACATAGCGTGATGACACTCAATACAAGCAAACCTTCCATAGAGAAGCATTTGAATAATGCTTCTCTATGAGGAAAGTCATATTGGCTAGCTAGCTAGCTAGATAGATAGATATATAGATAGATTATATACAAAACATAAATTAACCTCGGCTATCAGTAATTTGGTCTTTGAGAAAACAAGTATTTTTTTTAAAAGAGAACAAACACAATAGCACACATACACACAAACATACCTTGACACTATACACTTGTTGGGAAGTATGTGAAGGCTTACTAATGGTGCATTAGTTATTCTCGTATACATTTATGTTGACAGACATACAATGTATTTTATGCAACACAAAGCCTCTATTTTATATTCAGCTTTTGCTGTTCCCTGACTAAAGTGTTCAGAAGATGACAGTTCCTCTGTACTGTGCAGAAATTCACTATAAACCTTTTGGGAGATGCTATGTACATCTGCCCAGATAAATGAAGCAAAATAATAGACTAACGTTATAGAAGTACTGTCATGTGAACCCCACTGAAACTGTTTTTAACACTGTTAATGGGAGAATTCCATGAAAATTACAATTCTACATTTACTCAAATGAGAATGCAGCTGTCTCTTCTATTTAATGGGTGTTGTGAGTTCCATTGACACACTGCACACCATAGCATGATAAATAATGTCAGTCACTTCACAGAAATTGAACAGCACCTTGTTTGAAAAGGTCCGTAAGAAATTTACAAATTGCTTACAATACATAATTCTGCTCTTGATTTCTGTCAACCTTAAAGCAGATCTGTCCCTTGAGAATATTTTACTTTAAAAATAGAACATAAAGCATGTTTTTATAGTGTGTCATTATTAGTTTTAATTGGTCAGCGGTTTCAGCGATATGTTAATGGTTTGTTTGTTTTTGTTGTTACCTATACAGTGAATATAGGCAAGGAGAGCCGAACATCAGGAGTCATTCAAATGACTATGAAATTGTTAAAGGGACACTATAGTCACCAGAACAACTACAGCTTATTGAATTTGTTCTGGTGAGTAGAATCATTACCTTCAGGCTTTTTGCTGTAAACACTGTCGTTACAAAGAAAATGCAGTGTTTACATTACAGCCTAAGGATAACTTCACTGGCCACTCCTCAGATAGCGGTTAGAGATCCTTCCCTAAAATGCATCCATACATTCAGTATCTCCTCCCTCTGCATGCAGACACTGAACTTTCCTCATAGAGATTCAGTGACTCAATTTTATTAAAGACCCGGAGGCTCCTATTATTATGCTGCACTCTTTCTTTATTTCCCTCAGCAGCAAAGAAACATTATTGAAAAAAACATTCAAAGCAGGTTTAAACATCCTATAGGCAATGTCTGCCTAGCAACATGACCATCCAATCAGTGACATCCTTCCCATATAGTAGGCGGAGTGTTGATGACCATTTCCTCTTTCTTTGCTGCTTTCCCTCAGATAAGTACAACTCTCTCAGCTACTGGCTGTGGGATTATATATTTGTTATTATATGTCTGTTATTATTGCATGCTAATTATATTTACTACATATGTGATGATTACAGACTAATTCTGTACCTATTAGCATATGGTGCTGTAGTTTTCTTTGCTCACTTTTACTAGGCATTTATGCTTTTGATTTCAGAGTGTATTTCTGCCTGCATTGCCCTTTATGCTGGTTACTCCCTAGGACACTACAAGTCCTAGGGAGATTCTCTTTGGGCAAACCGCCGCGGTCGCGGCTCCGGGTACTGCCTACTTCAGCAGCGCATGCGCATCCCGTCAGGGACGCCCCTGGCGGCCATCTTGCGGCTGGATTACTGTATCCGCGCTCGGGATTTCAATCACCGAGCGCGGTCTCAGCCGCACACCAACGACGCTGTTACAGGTAGCCGGCCACTGCACACCTCTGCAGGCTACCTCGCGGATATTGATCAAACCGCGGGAAGCCCAATTC